CCCTCGTTATTTATGTTGATTCATAATGTTTCCACAGCCCCGTCTGTTTTCACCTGAGACCTTTAATCAGTGTTATCTTGTAGCTTTGCTGTTTCTGCATGTGCAGCTTTTCTTTGATAATAAAGAGATGGCACTGCTCATCTTTACGTGGACAGACTGAACGTGCTTGTACATGATGTGATAACATTTCTATAAAGAGACATTGGTTAATAAAAATCTATGTTGATGATGAGAATTGCTCGGCATCTGAAATTTCTTTTAATTATTCATTTTTAGTGGATTGTGGAAAACGTGCTGAACAGTTGAGGTGATTGTTTTTTCCACCTCTGATGGAGGAATGTGTTTCACCGTCAGATGTCTTGGCTTTTTTGGGAGCACATGTTTAATGCTAATGATTATGAGCTTCTTCTGTGCTTCACTGACTGAGGCTCTGAAATCTGAGCAGCTAAAATGTAGTTGCAGGACTTTTATTTTGACAGTCTCATCAAACGTCTTTTCCTGACACAGGTTCAAACATGTTATGCATGAAATGGAAAACACACTATCATTAATGAACATGTTGGTCCACTGCTATGAATTGTGGGATGTCATAACCTGCTTTCCTTTACAAAGGCAAGTTTATTTGTATAGTACAATTCAACAACAAGGTGATTCAAAGTGCTTTACAGAGACATTAGAAACAAAAACAAATAAAAAGCATGATTTAAAATTGATTCAAACAAACAAACAAACAAACTAATTAACAAACAAACAAACAAACAAACAAAACAGTATATAAAATCAAAACAGATAAAATCAGTTGTTAAACTGTAAGTTTTGAAATTTAAGCTTAAGTGCGGATTTGGTGTTTTATTCAAATGCAGCTGAGAACAGGTGAGTCTTCAACCTGGATTTAAATAAACTGTGTTTCAGCTGATCTGAGGCTTTCTGGGAGTTTGTTCCAGATATAAGGAGCATAAAATCTAACCATAAGACCTCAGAGCTGGACTGATGTGGTCCACTTTTTTGGTCTCGAGCAGCAGAGTTCTGAATGAGCTGTAGTTGTCTGACTGATTTTTTAGGTAGACCTGTAAAGATGCTGTTACAGTAAAGGATCCTCCAGTGCATCCTCTTCTCTTCTGCAGACACTTCTGGGTCATTTACACAACTTCCTAAACAAATCTGATCCGCTGACGGTAACAAGTGACTTCAGGTGGGAAAAGCAGCAGAAACGTAAATGAGAGGCTAAATCAGCACAAACCAGCAGGTGTCGCTGTTCGACCACCAGCCTGACTCTGGACACACAGGAACTGTGTGTCCAGAGTCAGTACACACAGTCTGCGTATCGCCTCTGTTTTCATGAGGTTTATATATTTATCAGGGCAGCACGCATGGATGAATAAAAAACCTGAATTCTTACTGTCAACAGTCACAACCCCCAGAAAGTCTTTCTACACATCACGTCCCGCCTAACCCAAAAGAGTGAAGTGGTTCCAAGAAACCTGTCAGTTATTAACATCTAAGAAGAAGCAAAAGAAATTAAGCATGGCCAACAGAAACAAAGTTACCAAAGAGAAGCCGCTGAGCTGGGAGA